TTACCTGCATTCTGTTGGGGCATAAAGCACAGATGAAGGAACATGCTGCTCTCCGGCTTGAGCTAATCTAGGGTTTGGTAGTTTCCCTAAATAGGGGGACCCCAAGATAGACTCCAAAATACTACGGTCCTTATTATGGGGACCCCCAAAAACGTACCCGTAATTTTGGAAACCCCTATATTCATCCCCAGCCCTGGTCCCGCTTGAATTCCTCAGGCTCAGAACTTTGCTGCCAAACTCGCGACGGACCGAACAAAGAGTCGGAGAGAAGAATCTGCTCGGCTCGGGCTTTACGTTTATTCGATTTGGATTTGAGATATTTGATAATTGCCGTCTTGTCAAATGGGTCATTGACACGTCATTGCCAGAGGTTAGCGGATGCACCTGCAAAATGAACGAATCAGAAACATGACAAGCAGAACATTGATTTTCGCTTTCTACCTTTCGATATACCCTAGTGAACATGTCATATTCGACTGACCTCGTGAACTTTAGCATTGTTTGGAATTGGCTGTTACTGCAACTTCATATCTGGGAGTATGTGTTAATGACTTACTTATGTTGTATCTATAGTATGTTGTAAGTATGTGAAATCTGTTCATAATTTTGAAGATCAGGTCTTCACGGTTAATTAGTTTATCCGCTACTGCGAGACCGCCTCGGCAAAGGTTGTCGAGATTCAGAAGCTGGGCCATCCTAGCAGAAGCATGCATGGTCAAAGAGTGATGGCCTCCGAATGTTGGCATTGCTTCATCCTGGTTCTACACGTTGCCCACCAAACGCCCCGCAAACAGGTTTCGTTACCTGCGCCGCAGCTCTCCCCCGCCACCCCCTCCCCGAGCTGGCCCCTAAACCTTAAATTTAAAAAGCCTGCCACACACACCTCCCCCCGCGCCCCCTCTCCGCCCCCTCTCCTGCCTCCTTGCCCCGAAGCCTCCTAGAAACACAAAAGCAAGCCGTGGTCTAGGAGGGGGTAGGGGGTGGGTTAAATTACTTTCCTAGTCTCCGAACCTGGATCTAAACGCCACCGGCCTCCGGCCTCGGCGGATTTCAACATGGCTTCAAAGGCTAGACGTGCGAGCAGTTTGGCGTGTTGCCGCGTTGCCGCCAGCATGTATAGGGTTGCAAGCTGTTCAGCGTAAGACTCGTTCTTGATCCAATGCAGCTCTGCATGATGGGCGCAGTATTATTAAAAGGCATTTTGACACTTGACTTCTCTTGGTTTGGCATGGCTCTCGGCTAGGACTTGTTTTCTCCAGCGTGGAGATCAGCTGAGTAGCAAGCTGTTCGGTGTGGGGCTCGTTTTTAATCCAACATAGCCTGTTAGGCATGGGACTTGTTTTTGGCCTGTTGTGGCTTTCGGCGTTTGGCCATTTTTGATCCAGCATAGCTCTGCGTGATATCACTGTCTAGCATGGGGTCGAAGCATTGATCAACTGGCCTTTTGCCACAGCGGTAGAACTAACCAGCATAGCTTTCCCAGGGCAGTTTGCTGCTCAACGTATTGCCGCACTGCTACTCCATGGAGGGTAGTAAGCTGTTCGGATCAAGCTGTCGGCATGGGAGCTCGTTTTGCTCTGACTTGGTTCCCAAACTACACAACGGGGCCCTCTTGACCCAACCTAACCCACCCAAGTAGAGATGCATTTAGCTTGGGGTCAGTTCTTCAGTGACTCCCACGCCCTGCCGGGGAGCACCACCAGAACCCGCCAGAACCCTGCCTGACCTGGGTTGTCGGGAGGGTGTCGTGCAGCACCGTTGGCGAGAGAGCAAGCAAGCGAGCGATTGAGCCAGCAAGGAAGGCATGGTGAGAGGAAAAAGTAAGCGCCACGCATATGCAAACTTGTGCAACAGTAAAGTCACTGCAGGGCTGCTGGAATCAGGTGTAGAGCCGGGGTTAATTCAGGGTAAGTGGGCAGTGCATTGTGCCCATCAGACCTTCTGATGCAATGCTGTTATCAACCTCCTTGTATTTTGAGCTCCATGCAGGATGAGGGGTTCACATTGGCAGAGGATGCTGTGGCCTATGGCTGCTTGGCGGATGTTTGCTGTTGGAATGTTGGAAGGTACTTGGGTCTTGTGACTTACCCTGTGGATCCTACGTTGAGCAGGCAGCTATGATCTGTGCTTGTATAGACTGTTGCCAACAATTATTTTCCAGGTGCTGCCATAACTTGCTGCGGTCGCGCGGGCCGCTGGCAATGGTCGCTGGAAATACTCAAGCGCATGAAGGCTCCCACAGCCGTGCGTGCAGCTATGGGCTGACAACATGTAAATTTCTAGTTATTCTCGGCTTTTTACATGAGAGGCCATGGTATGCTTGTTGGGTACTACGCGTGTTGGAGTGAAATCACAGCTTGCAACAGGGGTGTGGCGCACAAGAAGCCAACCAACCTCACCCAGAGCCTTTGAGCCACATAACTTGCAGTTGGCGAGCATCCGATCGAATACGGTGATCTACAACGCTGCGATCACCAGCTGTGACTGCAGCGCGGAGTGGCAACGAGCCCTCTCAATGCTAGAGGACATGAGGCCTGCTTCCGTTCCTGACTCCCTTGACAGCTTGCGTCCGTGGCTTTCGGTTCAACTTGCAGTGTTCTTCATGCGTTGAATCTGCTTCAGACCTTTCCATCGCAACCCGTATCGTCTGCTTTACAGGAGCTTGTGCTTCTAAGAGTTGTCAGACAAGTTTTAGTTGCCACAGAACTTACAACCTTGTAAGTCTTCCAGAAGCCATCTCATTGCCTACTCATTGCATCCTTGCCGCAGTCAACACTCCATGAAGCATGAAGCTCCAAGTGTGAGATCAGGCTGGCCAAAGTGACGGCTGACATGGTGACTTACGGGGCAGCAATCAGTGCATGCGAGAGATGCAAGAAGTGGCAGCATGGAACATGCCTCAGCTTGACGTACATTCTGAAGCTAAGCCCAGAGCAGAAGGTCGAGTCTATTTTTTTCCTAAGGCTTCGCACTGCTGTATGAACTACATTCTCAAGGCAAGGAGTCATTCACCTTCTTTGCTGCCTCCATGCTATTCGTGGCAGCTGTCAGATGATCTCTGCCCCAAGCCTTGCCAGACCTGGCAGCCAACGTGGTAGCGCTCAGCGCAGCAATTGGCGCTTGTAGTGTCGCCGAGTGGAGGCTCCGAGTATTGTATAGATTTTGGACTGCAACACTGCCGCTTGGGAGTGTGGAAGGTAGTTCATGTCAATATCTGAAAATTCGGCTTCAGAGCCCACGGCTCAAGGTTCGCTTTGGTGCCCTAGAGAAGTGCCTGACCGAGCTGCGCGATGTTGAATTTCTACTCTGGGCTTATGGTCAGTTGTTTGTCTCAGTCATTCTAAGTCTTTTGGCAGGCGCACCCTCATTCTTTTCGAGGCCGTGGCAGCTGCACCCAGTGCCCCACGTGTCCTTCATGCCACCACACGAGATGTGACAGGCAATGCGTGACAAGCAGCTGGAGCCAAACGAGGTCACTTTCACTTCTGTGATCTCAGCTTGCGCTGGGGCACTACGTTGCCTGGCTGCACATCATCCATGACATGTTTGATGGGTTGTGCAGCGAACATTCTGCGCATAGGCTGGCAAGCCGCAGTGCAGATGCTCACCCAGATGAGGGCCCACGACATCAGCGGAGGTGAACAATAGCACCAGAAGCCTGTGCAAAAGTTTTTGTCGAGCTTACATGATCCGGTGACTGCATGCCCCATGCATTTGCAAGCTAAAGGCCATGGTTTCATCCTACAGTAGCTCTTGCACTCATCTTCGATTCTGCAGGCGTGGTGGCATCGTCCCACCTGCTGGCACCGTGGCTCTTCAATTGCATGCTTCATTCGCCAGCATGCAGCCTTGTTTGTCATGATGGCCGAAGCAAAACAAATCCACCTGTTTCCGAGTTGAAACAAACTCCCAACCAGCGCGATGCAGTCGGGACAAACCTTGGGGCAGTTGGCTGCAGCACCTGAGGATGCCCTGGAGGGTGCTGTGGCGGCTTCACCTGCCCCTCTGGTGCTGCTGCGCATCGCGAATCAGGGTGAGCGGCTTTGTGGACAGCTTCTGGAAAAGGTGAGTCGTGCTTGCTCCCCTGCATGCTTGTCTGAGAGGTTGACAGGGTTACATCGAGCTTCGCATTCAGCTTGCTCCATAGGGCAGATGACGGCCGATTTGGAAACGGATTGCCCTTCCCGTTAGCGAATTTCAGATTATAACTGTTTCATCAGGGTCCGAGCCGAAGGTCGAAGCCTTTGTTGCCCCTTGACCTCTTGCCTCCTCACGTTCTGCGGATACGATGCGTTCAACAGAAGTCAATCATGAGTCGAGGCAGAATGCTTGTCCTTTCGTGTTGCCTTGTTTTTCATCAGGGTCATCTTCTGAATTGAGCTTTCTCAGAATGTTTTAAATAATCCTGCCCTCAAAAGCGTCCGCAATTCCAGTAGCTTGGGATGCTGAACTCGGAGTCATGGCAGAAAGTTGAAATGGAAAACCTCTCTCTACTTTGGTTTTCCAAAGTTCAGGCGTTGGATCGGCTCCCAGGTGTCAGTTTTCAGCGTGCAGGTATGAGCCTGACAACGGGTGGTGCATGTTTGCGCAGCTGTTTCACAAACTCAGACTCTTGCCACCGCCTCCAGATATTTCTGGCAGTGTGGCTCATTTGACGCCAGGATGTTTATTGTGGGGCCTCGATGTTGATCCCCAATCTACGTGCAGGCTGGTGTACAGGCTTGTGGCATGTTGTAGGCAACCCCCCCAACTGCCACTGGCTGTCTCGATCCAACAGTTACCTTGATTCGTCATTGCGATGCTGCAAGCTGTCCAAGCTTGACCCAAGCCCAGGATTCCATGGTGGACTCTCGCGCAGATGAGCCCATTATCCAGGCTGGACAGTGCTGGGAAGACAGGAAGGGCATCTTGCGCTGTTGGTACTGCAGCAGTATTTTGATCTTTGCGAGCTACCTGGATGTGCGTTGGCCGTCCTTGCTGTGCTTCAGGCCGTCATTGCCATGTCATCGGTCTTTATGTACTTGAGCTGCCTGAGCCTCTTCCTCATGACCCGGAAAGATCTGTCGCGCCCCTTCAGCCTGGTGGCTTGGCAGATGATTTGGAGAAGAGAGGCTTTTTCACTGATTTGTTCTACTTGCAGGTTCTCCGAAGTCTCTTGAGATGTGAGTCCCTGTGACGCTGAGATTGCCTGCTTGGTGACATTCATAGCTGGCAGTGCCTACCTGGGCATGGCCAATGGAATTCTGGTGCGTGTGGTGGATGGCAGGCTGGCCGTGTTTCAAAAGTTTCCCTCAATCGATCACACCCCGTGATGCCACAGAAGCCATTCAGGAAGGTCTACTGCCTTCGTTACGTCGACTGGTGCCTGACCACAGCTTTGATGCTGCTAGACCTGGCAATGATGCGAGGCTGGTCCCGTCTGGAAGTGCAAACTTTTCTTCTCGCGATGTTTGGGACCGTTGCCTGTTCACCAATATGGTAAACAAGCCTGCTAGAGTCAAAGTTGCAGATGCGCCGCATCGGTGGGGCAAGGGTTGTTCAATGTCGTTTGTTTTCAAGTCTTCTGCCAGGCCAAGTTCCTGAGTCCTGCAAGTGTCACACCGAAGCCCCCCACTTGCGCAGAGAGTTTTTGTTGCCATTGCAATCTCTTCCTGTACTTGGTCAGTTATGAGCATTGCGAAATCATCCGTCGCAAAGAGTTGTGCTCATAAGAAACAGCAGCAATGATGTGTCGTGATCATATCCTTTGCAGCGGGACCAAATACGCAACCAATGGTGTAATAAAAGTCGTTTTTCATATTAGTGGCACAAGCCAAGCAGCAGAGGAGTGGAATGTATGACTGCACCGGCTAATAAATCAGTGCAGTGCTAGTAGCACTTGCAGATGCAGAATCAACAGCAGAAGCAGTACTAGTTGTAGTGGTAGAAGTAGGAGTGGCTGCAGTATTAGTGGTTGTAGCCAGTATTGCTACCAGTCGTACTAGTAATAGTAATACTACAACAGCGGCAACTACCACTAGTACCACTTCTACTGCTTCTACTGCTACTGCGATGAGGAGCAGGAGCAGAAGCAGCAGTATTTTCGCATTCAAACACTCGCGTTACTCCAGCCGCGCTTTGGCAGGCAAGCTACACGCAACAACATAAAATTTGTAAGGGCATGGATTCTGTACTTTACTTCCGCCATTTTGCCACCGAAGTGAGTCCTCTCGCTATGCAGAGAAGCAAGAACACTTACACTCAGGAGGATTTTTGATTGCTTGGCAATTGCGATGGGCCCCTGCAGTGTTGGTGGCCAGCTGTTTCTTCGTAGGAACTTGAGGAAAACGTAAGAATTGCACTTCCACTCTCAGAGGATTTCTTCAGATTGAGCAAGGGCCATGCAATTTGGCTGCGACCAAGGAGAGGTTGAGGGGCCCAGAAAGTTTGGAGGCCCACACTGTAAACAGCTATCTGCTGGTGTGTTCCTACACAGCGACTCTGTCCTAGGCTTGGGTTGGTAGTGCTTAGTAGCAGTAGCTCTGGTGGTAGTTGTGCTGGTGGTCGTAGAAGCAGTAGCACACTGTGATTGACGGTTTGTGCTTTCGGTGCAGGTGCCAACATGAAGGCGACGGCTATGCTGATGGGCATTGACATGGCCATGATTTCGCTGCTAGCAAAAAATAGACATGCTTGGCTTAGAATGTGCTAAACGGAATGTTGCAGCCTGACTGTGCAACCTGTCTGCTATGGCTTCCACGACCTGGTCGCAGTTGCCAGATTTTGGCATGTTTGGACTTGATAAACAGGAGCTTGCGGCATGCAGACGTTGCCTTGAAAGGGTAGGACTGTCATATTGCACTTCTGCAGCAACACAAATGTTTTGGCAAGCCAAGGATGGCCCTTATGGCCGCCATGAGCCCGGAAGAGGATGGTGCCATCCCCAGTTCCGGGATCACTCTCGCAAGGTCTTGTTGTTACTCTCTGCTAAATTTTGAAGGCCTTGCTCAAACTCTGTGTCCATTACGGGCCTGTAAGTTGACGGTGTTAAGAGAGGTTGCTTAGGGCATGCGGCTGCAACGGTGACAGCTCACAGACTCGATGTTGGCATTTGTGCATGAGGAAAGTGGCATTTCTTTGGCTTGGGCTGCGTTTGCTTCGCGTGCATGGCCGTAGCCTCAGCCTGTAAGATTAGGCCCTGCAAGGTGAAGAGGAGAGAAAAAGGGTGGAGGATAGAGATTGCGGAGCAGGGGTGGGTGGATGTTCATATGTTTTTCTATTCTAAGGCTTGCCCCCATCTGGTTTGAAGAACGCATCAAGCAGGCAAAGCAAGAAAGTCCTGAGTTGAGTGGCGTTCACAAGGTCTCCTTCCTCTTTACCTCGCTGCAGCGCGCAGCAGAGGAGCGAGGTGCGGAGACCTTTGGTGGCGAGAGCTAGAAAGTTCTCACCTGAAGTTTGGCTTGCGGGAAGATGTAGAGATGCATTCCTTCAAGTGTCTGACATGTCGGAACGTGTATTCCAAGCAGGAAAGCAGCAAGCAGACTAATTGTTCAAAGCGTGTCTAGGTGGAGATGCACAGAGGAAGTTCAAGTTCGTGGCTACACGGACAGTTGCCACTGGCATGGAACCAAGCTGTAGGATCCAATTTGGTTGGTCATTGCCTTGTGATAGTCCTTCGTCACACCGCTGCCGGTTGGACAGCAAAGTGCAAGCATCTGCGAGTGCTTTAAACAGTATCAATTTGGCAGCCGAGGAGCTTTGGTGCTTGTATCCTGTCATCTTTGCCCTTGGTGAGCTAACGCACACCATCCCTGAAGAGATCCTTGGTTGCGTTCGCGCTTGTACTACTCTATCTTGGTGGCCTTGAATGTGGCAACAGTGCTGGTTGAGTCAGCTTGATTTGCAGATTGGAAATCATTGGCTACGCAGTTGCTGATGTCATGGCAAAGAAGCCTGGTTGCAGAGGAGGATGAGCGCTTGTCCCATGTTCCAAAGTCACAGTTTCCTTCTCGCCTCTTGTTTCGAAATGTCGAACAACAAAGATCAGCATGCTTCTGAGGACCGGGATACCGATGATGATTTGGATTTGGTCAATCTTTGAAACAAAGGCCTTGACTTTGAGGCAGCTTGAGTCGGCTTTTCAGCGTTGCGCCTGCTTTCAGGCATTGCCAACAATTCTTACAAGTGAGAAGGACTGAGCCTGACTGGAGCCTGAAAGGTTGAGCAAGCTTATTGCCCTTGTTTGGTCATGCACGGCATGCTCAGGAGGCCCTGGGTTCCATTGTGGAATGAAGTGGACCTGCGGCACATGGTTTGTGATTCCAGTGCTCAGGCCAGAGTTGCAGGGCCTGCAGGGTCGAAATTTTTGACATGCCGGAACCTTTCTGAATCAACAGCATAAAGCTTGTGAGCTCGTGTGATTCCGATAGTACGGGCATGCTGCTGCACCAAGCCTAAGCCTACTGCTGTGCTGTCGACAGGCCTCCGAAGTTAACATGCGCTGCTGCCCAGCTCCATGGTGGGAGACAAATATGTCTTCAGTGTTTAAAGCCGTGTGCAGAGGGGCTCAACCCAGCAGGGCTTTTTTGAAAGGCTGTGGGACTGTAGCTTGTGAGGAATTCAGTTGCTGGATGTTGCCTGCACGAAGGCACAAAGCCAGTGCCGACATCCTGTCTCTTGTGAGGCTTTGTCCACAGTTTTCTAGGCTGCAGAACTGTTTTAGTCCCATGCTCAGCACTAGCAGCCTCCACAAGCCGAGGCTTCTGATCTTGGGATTTCAATGCTAGCTGGAAACAATTTCTGCCAAACTAGCTCTTCATCTAAGTAGATCATCCAACCACGGTTCCATGGTGTGGCTTTGCAAACGAGCTTTGTGCAAACATACTCTTAAACGTCGCAATAAAAGCGCCACTGTCTTGACTGAAGGTGTAGAAGATTTGGGGTGATCAGCAAAAAGCCTTGCTACTTCTCATTGCAGCAGCAAGCTAAATCTATCCCTTACAAGCCTCCCGTCTGTCGACCCCAAAGGCAGCCAGTGGCAAGACGCATCGTAAATTTGTTGCATAAGCCGCAAAGCGGACAAGAAGCAATTCCATTCAAAAACTATCGCGTCATCCTACGGTTTGGAGGACTGGTCGTGAGCCCAACTGTCGCAAGAGAGGAGTTCACACCAGGCTGAAGAGACTGTCCTGACCCTGGCCGACTGCGCGTCTGCCGTCTGTGCGCCGCACATTACGCAATTTTGTCGAAAGGCAGGTGGTGATTTGTTTTTGCAGGAGCTGATGCCCATAGCAAGGCTTGTCTCGTTATAAATCGGCGGTGGCCCTGAAAAAGGAGGATCGCAAAGAAAGCGTGCGTTGAAATCCGGGAGAAATCCGCTCGGATGTGCAATGTCATCGGTGCGTGCTCTATCAAATGCAGTAAGCGCTTCTTGCGAGCATTCCTCGGCCGAGAAGCCAGTCCGCGCACACTCGCATAGCACTTCTGTGAAGAAGGTGGATTTTGGAGAGTTGATTGCCGGGCCGGTGTTCGGCTACACAGCTGTCCGAATTGATTTACATATTGTAAGTCTCACCAGCCAGCCGTGATCTACGTTTCAACCCTCCAAAAATGTGGATAGGTTCTGGCCAAAGCACATGTGTGAACATGAGAGCTAGAGGGTACACCAAAGTCTTGGAGGCATAGCTTTATGTGCGTCAGCCAAGGAACTTGCAGCCCACAACCGAGTAGGAAAAGCCCTGCAGCCCCTAGCTTTGCGTGTGTCTCAGCCTGGCCTGCTGCAGCCATGGTGGAAATGGACGAGGATCGGGAGCTCACGGCTCAGCTGTCCAATTGGCCTGTAGGAGGACTACTTCTCTGAACATGTCCAGCGGGCATCACCCTATGCCAAGGCGGGCGTATAGCCGAATGCTCGAGGCCTGAGATGGTGTTGTTGCAATATGCTGTGGGCACCTTTCTGTGCTACATAGGTGGGCACGTTTCTGTGCTATATAGCTTGGAATGCCTTCTCACAGGTAGTGAATTCTGTCCTGGCAGGGCAGATGCAGGCCTGATTTAGTGTCTGGTCTTGACTGCAAGAGATGAGAAACTCAGAATTCCAGGCTGCTGAGAGTTCCTTTCCTGATTTTCCTGGGCTCTTGTTTCTGCCCCAAAGGCGACAAATGCCGCTGAGCTGCTATCCCCGATCTCATCCCAGGACTTCCGTAAGAGGTTGAGAGCGGCGGCCGCAGAGAGAACTGAGTTTGCAGGGCTCAGCCCTTCGGCAATGTGAGGTGCTAGGTGCACTTGTTTCTGCGGCTGTTTTGCCACAAGCTGCAGTTCTGTACAGGTACATGAAGCAAAACAAGACAGATGTTAGGTTCCTGAGTTTCCTCTGCAAGCAAAGGCAGGTCCCGGTGTCCTAAAGGCATATAAAGCCAGGGAGGTATTTCTTGCAACCACAAAGCATGGAGCCTAACATCATCCATGCTCTTCTTTGCAAACACAACCAGGAATGGGACAACATCGGGCATTAGCTCTAGCGCTTGTTTCCCTGCCCGTCTTTGATCTGTCCCCAAAGCGCATGGACGACGAGAGCGGTGAAGTGAGAGAGGAGGCTGAGGTCCTTCGGGAAAGAGTGTGCTTGGAGTGGTGCTTGTTGATCTTGGAAAGCCGTGATCTCTGGCCCCTCAGACATCTGATCGTCGCTCCAGTGCTCCACGTGCCTTGGCTGATTATGGATCAGATCAGTGGGTGATTTTTGGTTCTGCGTAGACTGGCAATGGGTGCAGGCCAGAGGCTGTCAGTGCAGTCAAGGCGTCATAACGGTGCCGCTGCTTTTCCGGCGATTGTTGGACCGCTCAACGGGTCCCCTGTTTGCAGGTGAGTTATTTTGATGTGCGTCTGCGTTTTTGGCAGCCAACGACACGCACGCTCTCAGGTTACACAAATGACTCGCTGGTCGCACATTTGGTAGAGACTGGTGCAATCACGCAGGGACACATCGAGGTGCAAAATCAAAGCCTGACTCTAGATTCTAGAGGATTCTCGTATTGCAGGGGTTGTCTCTGGCATCTATGGCTGCAGCTTTTTTTTCCAGGGGTTCCTCGCAGGGGAGTCTTCCAAAGGAAGCCAATCGATGAGTTAGCGGAATTTGATCGCCTGTCTCATGGGCAGGCGGCCTTTCGGGCTGTGGACCGCGGGAAGTTCCTTCCAAATCTTGAGGAGGGAACGTCAGAGGCCTTGTCAGTCCTGTAAGTTCACATCAGTTCGGGACAGAGAGCGACCTCACAATAGCCCAATGCATGCAGCTCTTCATCAATGCCTGCATTATCCAACTCCTCGCTACCGTTAAGGCCACTGCACTTCATCAGACTTCTCCTTTCCTCCCAGGTCCGTGTAACATGCTCAACTCCATTCTCGGGCGTGTCATCCAACTGCCACTCAGGCATGACATGCAAGATGTGGTGCTTGCCGGCGGGCGAAAGCTTGTACAGAGACGTAGAATCCAAGAAAGAAACGACGCCCCACAAAATGACCCAGGATGTTTTTGGGCTGAAGCATGAGGAACGATTTGTAACGTGCATGAATTGTTGTCAGCCCTGGAAACTACGTGCCCTGTTGGCCAATAGCATGATGCTGGACTTGCCCTTCATCACCTCCCAGACAGGTCCACGAGCAGTTTATGAGTTGTGGTTTCATGTAACTAGGTAAGACATAACCTGATCTGCCAAGCCACGGATATGCTGTCACAATACTGTCTGGAATGTTGTTGTGCTCTGTGTTAACTTTGATTAATGTTTGTCGAGCGCATGATGAAGATACATCTGGGCAAGACCTGTTCACCCATTTGGAGGCTCTCTTGCAGTAGTAGTAGGGCTGCTGGGCGGGGCTTTTGATAGGGGTTAGTGGGGAAGGTTCCAAGAAGCTCTACGTCACTACGTCAAAAGGCAGGACTTCAAGTGTCTTTGAGCCCTCCTTGGGTTCAAACCTGTCCACAGTCACAGAGATACTGCCCAGCAATCGAGAAGTGCTCCCAGTGAGCAGGCCCACTGATGACACACCTGTGCCCTTACTGTGGAACGATAGAGGAGCTCAATGTGTGCGTCTCCCAGCGTAGAAATCCTTGCAAGAAGGCCTGACTGTTCCCACCGGGAGGAAGAAGTCAAGCCAAGAAGGAGAAGAAGACGAAGAAGAAAAAGAAGAAGCAAAACTGTTCAGCTCTTCCTGGGCCATATACCTCCTCCCGCAAAAATCTACTCCATTTCACACAGTCAGCTGTTGAAAGCAGTTGATCAGTGTGACTTGGGTATTCTCCTGATAAACAGTTAGCAAGCATTTTCTACAGCGTGGTCCTTCGCGTGATGGGGCAGGTCTACGACGATGCCCCTGTGACTCGCCGTCTGGAATGAGAAAAAATTGATGCCATTTCTGCAACGGGCGGATGATTTTTTTCAATGATCGTGTGAGCCAGGCTCCGGATTAGGCATGCTCTGAGATTTAAGCGTCGGATACATGTACCTGCAATCTTTCAATCTTAAGGTCAGATTCGGCCACTTCCACATGTCGCTGGCCCCATATTCGGAAAGCTTTAAAATGAGGATGTTGCTGTGAAGCCAACAGATTGTTTGTGTTTGGTGCTTCTGCTGATACCTCTGGACATTCTCTAGCTACAGTTGAAGTATTGAGCTACCTCCGTTCATTCAGTTACACTCACATCCTGCTAATCTGAATCCAGGTCGCAGCCTTCGCTTTATGCAGAAGCAGTCGCAAATCTGGATCTCCGGCGAGGGCTGTCGTTTCTCAACGTGGGCTCAGGGTGCCATGGCTTGGCAACAGATCTGTAAGCTGGGTGCGGTGCAGGGTGCGTTGCAAGCCCTGGTGTTTTGGTGGAAGCGCTGCGGCATTCGCAGGACGGGCTATTTGTCCTCGATTGTCGCAGAGATTGCTGGTCCTGGCCTGCATCACGGTGTGCCACCCAGCCAGTTCATGAGTCCAATCTTCAGCCCTTGCAAACATTCATGTTGCCGATGTAGAGGCCTTTTTTTGGGCGGGTGGGAGAGTCTGAAATGCTGGCAAAGTCTGCATGAATTCGTCTACAGCAGGCTGTCCTGAGCGGCCAGCAGCCTCCATCCCGATCTGTCAGGTGTGGACTTGTATTCAGACCTGCTGGACCACGCGCAGGATAGAAGTTTGCCCTGCGCTGTCTTGCGCATCGCATATTGATCTGCAAGTACAGTCCCGCTGCTGCGAGGAGATGCTTCACGTGCAGAAAAAGGAGTACATCCAGTTTTTCGAGGCGGGACTTCTTCATTACCACAACTGCGTCATGCGTCCGAGTCCAAGGCTTCGTTGTGATCTGTGAAGCTTGCAGGTAAATGCGCATGACCTGGACCTTGCCGCTTGGAAGCACAGAACTGTGGTAGATGGATGTTTCTTCTCCTTTTCTTTGGCAGAATCGTTCTTGCTTTGCTGGCTCAACCCTAGCCTGATTTCACATACTGTCTTAGCAAGGCTACACACACCATGGCATCACACAGGGACTCCATTCAGCATTTGTGAGGTCATGTGTCCACGATATGACCGCATGTACCTGGGAGCCTGTGCTGGTGGCCAGTCAAAGCGACTTCTAGCGCTCTTGCAAGCATCTTGGCTATATGCAGGTTGCAAAGCACCTAACCGATCACCATCAGATCACAACGTCGCATGGGATTGAGGTTGGTGGTATCGCAGTCGGCCCCTTTGAGACATCTTCAGGCCAGTATATTCGCCGCGTGTTGCGAACGCGCCTTGATTGGCAGTTTGATGGGTAATCCGCTTGGAAAATTTGGGGTCCTTTAGAAAAGCTTAACCTGGTCTCGGAACAGTATGTCCTGTAAATTGTGCTAGAAAGTGCGCCTGCCAGTCAGTCCAATCGCAAATCATTGAAGGTTGGAGTGAACTGACTCAAAATTCCAGGTGTTTTCAGCGATCGCGATTTCTGTGCAAATAATTGCGCGTCAAATTAACAGCGTGCCAAGGTCCGAAACGACTTTCGACGTCAAGAACCTGAAGCAGGCCTCATAGGACTGTGCAAGCTGAGGGGCGTGCCTGAAGAGTGCATCCTTGGCCTTGGCTGGCTTGAGCATATCTGGTCTGCTTGGTGAAGCACAGGTGTCCTTCGGTCGACTGCTTCCCTCAGAGGAACCAATGCGGAGGCACTCTGCTCACTGACGCTCGCAAAGGGAGCTGTAGTTCTGGTCAACCTGTGGCTAGCGCTGCAAAGCTTGATCCCAGCTAGTCTACCGGGGCGTGGCTCTTGCGCAACGTGTTGGCAGGCCATCATTTGTGTTGCCGTCACCACCATGGACTCCTTCCACGCATGTGCTTTGACTCAACTGAAAATCATGCCCGTTCTGCACAGTTCTACAGAAAGAGATCTGCAAGGGACCCATGTGCCTGTGTGCCCTGACGGTAGTAAACACAACCTGTGAAGGAACGCGGCATTGAAGCTGAGGCTGCACACAGCAAAGGCTTCCGCAGCGCGGTCCGCGAGGCTCCGGTAACTTCTCGGGTTGAGTCAGCCAGTCGATGTGCAAAGCTGCAATGTTTGTTTTTTCAGTTTTGGCATGGCCTTGCATTAAGCTCATGCTTGCAAGGTGCTTCTGTGCACAACCCACGTCAACTCGCCGGCCCACATAGTCCCCAGAGACATCTTTGTGAAACATGTCTTCGGCTCCTGGGCACAGACACAGGCAGGCGATTTCACTTTGCTGATCCCTCGGAGCTGAGGTTTCATGCACCCCCGATGGTTTAGCAGCGCCACAGAGGCCAGTGCAGTGCTGTGCAGTGCTGTGCTCGCTGGATTCACTTGATTCATATCAGTTTGCAGGCCCCCTTTCGGGAGCGGTTGGATGGAGCTGAAGAGCAGCCAATGGATGACGAGGAGGGTCGGCAAGTGAACTTCAAAGTCCGCTAAATTATGCGCCCACCCCGTCTGTCACCACCCCTGTCTTGTGGCTTACTACTGCAGCGGGTGAGAGCAGACAGCCTGGCAGGGAACTTACGACGAAGACTCTGCCAGATTGCAGGCCGATGCTTGAACCGTTGTCCGACATTTTTAGGCTCTCAATTCTCTGCCTTTCAGCCTGTGGCTTTCTAAGGCACCTTGCACCATTCGCGTAACAACCACAAGCACAGCCTCACACGGTCTTTTTGCACCAAATGCACCAAATATGCTAGGCTACCCTCCGCTAACCCACACGAAATCGCAGAGTCCTGCCCTGCTATATATCATGATAACATACAGCATTAGAAGTTTCTCTCTCCTTTTCTGCTTGCTGACCATTCAGTTCTTTTGTGTCAGCTTTGTCCCGCTTTGCTTGTATAACTTCATGTGCTACAGAAACCAGTAGATTTTCCAGGAGGAGTACATGCACGCGTTGCATAACACATGCGTGCATATGAGGAAGAATAGGATTACCGACCAACCGAAGTGTCTTGGCTCGTTGCCTTTGCTTTCCGCCTTCCTTTGCCATCCTCCTCCGACGTCGTCAGCATGGAAACTACTCCAACCTCGTCGTTCCCGTCTGCAGGCGCGTGTAGGCAGCTGGTCGCCTGACCTCCAGGCGGCCGTGCTGGCGGCTGTGGCGGCCACGCAGGACTACAGCGGCGTCGTCGGCTACCTCTACGCCTTTCCGCCGAATTCCGCCGGAGCCGTGGGGCAACACCGAGCCAGCAGTGCGACCACCCCTGGATGCAAGTGACCTCCGTGCCATTTTGGAGAACATTGACGGTTTGCCGAGTGATGACGCAACAACCGTCGGCGGCGACGAGTTCATCTCGTTCCAACTCGGCATCAATGCGACCTTCAGCGGCGAGCCGGGTAGCATGGACACCACCAACGATGGCGGCGGCGGCGAGGCGGACATCGGCGACGCCGTGGGCAACAACAGCTGGCGCTGGCACGGTGACGTCCTCTCCGCCTGCTGCTGCTTTCACTGTGACGTCGCCTCTTACCAGCGCGCTGGATGTTGCTTCGATGGAGCCGCTCACTACATCGTCAATACCGCCGCTTACTAGTTCACATATTGGTATTTGGCGAGGAGCGCAGCAGCCCGCGGCAACAACATCGACGCATCAAATGGGGGCAGCAACAGCCAGTCCCGCCCACCGCCGCCTACCAAGGCGCCGCTGCCGCTGCTTGAGGAATTCACCCCACGGATTTCCACTTCCAGGGCGGCGACTTTGATGCGGCATCCTCCACGCGCGGTTCAGGGCGGCAATGCCGCCCATGAAGCAATCACTGGCGGCAGACACGAAAGAGTGGACGACTTAGCGGACTTAGAGAAGAGGTCGGCGACAGCCCTGGCTCAAACGGGAGCAGATTGCGGGCCGACGCGGGCCGTTCGCCAGCCGACATCGACAGCTGCATACTCCGTTTGTAGTTCGACCAATTAACCTTTTGTATGAAGGCATGGAAACTGGAGCCGGCTGACTTCTATATCGATGCATGCTGGCCGGCAGGGCATCCGAATCCGACTCATCGCGTTCCATGGGCAGGCAATGCCAGCAACGAGGTAAAGGATTGAGGACGGCGATGGCCCCATCGGCGGTGTAGACGACAAAGTGCCAAATGTCGTGTCCGCTCACACCACTTGCACATCCTACTGCGTCGCCTAGCTGCCAGAGGGCCCGCCAACAACATCAGCGGCCATATGGTGACTGCCACGGGCAACGACAACAGGGGCCGCGGCGGCCCTTGCCGTGGCCTTCTTTGCGCCAGCCATCGGCATCTGCCGAGCTCGCTAAGGTGTGGTGGCCAGACACAGTAAAGTCTTGAAAGCCGAGGCTGTCACGTCGTCTACTTGATGGTGCCCGGACATGCCCGGATTGCATCAGCTTTGCGCATGATGCTGCATATGTTTGCCGGACGAGCACACCGCAAAAATGCAAGCAGGCAAAATGGCGTTGCACGGCGTGGTACTGGCGCCGCTGGGCCCGTCTTGAAGATGGCCGGTGTGGCACGCAAGATTTTTGACTTGCACAGAGCAAGGGCGCCATTGCCTGCCATTGAGCATGTGATCCAGGGGCCTCATCGTTTGCCATTTGCCGACCGGTTGACGGGTCACGACGTTGACAAGCGGCCATCGAGAACGTTGTGCAGAATCTTGGAATGGGGTCCAAACAAACAAAGATGTCGTTCCCCACGTTCCCAGCAGGCATCCCGCTTGCAGCCGAGCAAGCAACGCGTGCGCATAGTCGACGCTGCATGACGTGTTGTGCTAGCGCTGAGCGCAGGCTTTGTGGGGCTGCCGGGTGGGTAAAAAATGCAAGATGTCCCCCCGACTGGTTCAGACAAGGTTCGGGAGCCTCGGATCTGTCGCGATTTGACATCATGCATCCACCCAATAAGGTAGTTCTGGTACGCGTGTGTACATGTCCATCTTTCAGACGGCCGATGCTCAGACGCGAATTTGATTTGTGGTTCTGAATGCAGTCAACAGTAAAGCTAAAGCCCAACCAAGATGCATGCCAAATGTAGCGTTAAACGAAAACAAATGCCAAAACTTAAGATACAATCTAGCACAGACATCAAAAGAATCGTGTGATTTCCAGTTGGCTTTTATGTAGTCTCTATTTAGCACCAACGAATGTTTTCTTCGATTTTAATTTGTTTTGTAGCTTTAGCTTATCGTGGCCCCAGGAAGCGCTAATCTTCAGGCTCCGCGCAACCTAGCCCCGAATCGACACAAATACAAAGACATGAAATGAACAAGGAAACTAAGCACAAACGACATGTATGTATACGAGAAAGACCAAAACACAAACCGTAAGTGTGCTGAAACTATTGGCTAGCTTTTCTTTGGTTTCCATGCGTTTTTTGTGAAGCCAACATTGCAGGCCATGTTTGGGGTATGGAGGGTTTTGCATCCAGCGCTGTTACATGTTGATGGTATGAATCTTGAGCAGATGGACGTGTGACAGGTGTTGCGGACGTTGGCCATGTTTGCCCGGCAGCAGCGCGACCTCGAGGCGCAGGACAGCGGATCGGAATCAGGGAGCTTCACGTGAGGTTGCTAACATATCCAGGTTTCATTAGCCATCCATCACTTTCAAAAAGAAGGCAGTGCAGCAGAGTTTCATCTTTGCTTCCCCACAGGAGAGTGATGATGCTGTGCGAAGCCGTCCCGGACTTGGGGTCTTGCCGGCCGTGTCAGCCACAAAGCTGCGGGCTGGGTTGTTTCCCGTTTTTGCCTGGGCGCTATTGGTCTCTGCCTGGCTTTCCACCGCCTCACGTTTCAAGGTATCCCTGTCTGACACAACTGCACCGAGAAAAGACAAGTACGGCTGTTGAATGACGGGGCAACCACGAAGAAAAGAACACTGAATATATGAATGACTTGCAGCAAGGACATGCCACAAGGAGAGAGTCTGCATCCATTGAAGCAACAATTTTGTCTTGCCAGGCCTTAACCAGACGCATGAATTCTACGACAGGTATCATAGCATGTATGCTAGCACGTGAAGGCATGTTTATGAGTGATCTGTCCATCCTGCAAGGCATTCAGAGCCTGTTTCGCATGCTGAATCCGAATCTCGGTCACATGGCCCACACTGGGCCAGATTCAGACGAGGAGGACGCGGAGGACAGCTGGTTCGAGAAAAGATGGCAGATCACCGCAGAAGGAAGTAGAAAGTCTTCCTTGCTTCTTTTCGGCTGTGCTGTTTTGTGGTTTTTGACTTGCGTTGGGTTTTGCGCTTCTTGTCTCCGGTTCACGTTGCTGGAGGAGTCTGCTGCTGAGCGGAATCCCAGTACTGCAGAGGCTCTGGGGTTGTCGACTCCTTTCGATGATTGTGTGTGTGTGTGTGTGTGTGTGTGTCGTTGCCGTGCCTCTTGAAGCTAGCACGTACGTGATTCCGGTTTGAAGCACAGCATCAATCCTTCAGCATGCAGCTTTGCGTTAGCACTCTCGGGCGTGGGTGGTCTGCATGGGCAAAAAACGGATATTCGAACGCCGGAGTTGCATTGCTGGTGTTGCAGATGTGCTTTGAGTTTTTGCAATCCTTGTCACCCAACGTCTTCCTGCAAGGGGCGCCTCAATGGAGGCTATCCCGCGACTGGCTGAGGAAGCCGTACTGTGCCATCCCGAGACATTTTGACACACTGACATACTCATACTGCAGGTTTGAAGATTGCCTCAGTCTGCCGCATGGCTCCCTTCATTCATGTTACCCATTCACGTGGTTTTTCAAGGTTGCGGCAGCATATCTGAACAGTAGTGTGGCCGACCACCAGATGGACTGCATGCGAATGAGCATGCCGAATCCAGCTTGACATTCAGAGGCGCCCAGAGCCTTGTAACTGTCATGGGAAGCAATAGCAGGTCGTATTTCCTGGCAAGGACATCCATCAATGTGGTATTGGTCAAAGTACATTTGCAGCTTATACCACCGAAATCATTTGGGGTTATGTCTGGTACCAGTGCTAAGCCACGTGATTGTCTCCGCCACAAACATATGTTGTTGAATTGGGCTTGGCGAAATTTCGTAGGCTCTGGCAACAGGGCCAGAGCTATTGTACATACAGCTTGTTGTGATGAATGCTGCATACTGGGCTCCACTGGCAGGGCTGTAGGGCAAATTAATCTGTAGTTCTTCATGCATCTTGCCAGTGAAAACCCAGGATCAGTGGTTTCATGCGAGTCTGCCCGGCGAGCAATCACGCCCGTTCGCAGCCAGCACATGCTGGGACTGTCCGTGGACAGAGAAGTGCCAGAACATTTTTCCATCTTGAGCTGGGCTGACTCAGACCATCAGAAGCTGAACAAGCTCCACCATACAGGGAGAGGAGCCTTGATGCTCCTGGTCTCATCCGGTCAAGATTAGCGAGCGGCAGTCAAGGATTCCTTCATCAGGGCGGTATTTCATGCTTTTTTCAGTGTAGCAGCAGTGCCAGCAAGGTCTTGGCATCAGCACTGGATCGTCGGTGTGCGCATTCAAAGTACGTGGTTTCAACTTGAACAGACATAAGGAAATTCACCCTACGAAGGACCCCGCACCGATTGTGTAGACTGTTTCGCTGTACCTAAATGCTTCCTTGTTGTCGACGCGCTTCTAGAACCCACACGTATGATGCTATCTTATTCATGGCTGCTGCTATGTACATTTTCAAGAGAAGGCATTGAAGCGTAGCTGGTAGGAGAGCGGTGACGAAGACCAAAGTGTGCTTCTATGTGCTTGAAAATACGCGGCCTCACCTTAAGGTAGATTTCATTCCAGGTATGCTATTCGCGCGCTTCAGGGTTCCAGCTATGTTCATTTCAAAGGCTGCATTCTTCCACGCCCCAACTGCCACTGCACCCAGGAGTCGCTGCAGCAGATCCTGGTAGATGTCTTGTGGCTGGTGGGTTTTGCATCAACAGAGGCTGGACCTCTGTTCAGAGAAGACTTGCCATAGCATTTGCTGTGATGTAACTCATGTCGTGCCTTTGTTCCTTATCCTGTCAAAATTGCGGCAAACAGATGATTGCTCTGGCAATCTCGCAGGCACCCTCCAACAAAGATGCGCGAGAGGATTGTTGTTCCGCGTGCAGGTGGTTCTAGTATCTCCTCCCTTGCCAGCGCATACAAGTACATGACTTGCCAGCAAGATTTGTGGAAGTGTGGCACATCACTGTCACTCAATTGCGTTTTGCAGTTGGAAGGAGTTTAGCAACTTCTGCTCCATCCTCGAAAGGGAGGCCTAAAGCTCTTGCCCGTCTGCTCAAACATTTGATCTGGTTCAGGCAATTATCTTCGGAGCAGAGGCCTGCCAAAGCCCTTGCAGCCAGGGCGTGATCTCCAAGCCGATTCTCGCCATGGGGCTCGAAACCGAGACCGTGCAGCTCCCAACTTGGGTTGGGTCCGTGTGTTCAGCTTGCGTTAATTATCAGCAATGACTTGGCATTTAGCCCTTTGGCTCTTGCTCATCTCGCAGTGTCAATTAGTCTGTTCATGAGTTGCGGGGTTAGGACGGACATGATGAGCTTGGGTCGCGCTGGTGTTGGAAATAGATTTTTTTGACTGGCAATCAGCTAAAGAATCCGACGTATCTAACAAACCTTTGCATTTTTGGCTTCAACGCTGTTCGCAGTGGCCTGACGGTCAGCACCAGTTTGAAGATTCTAGTTGGTTAAGGTTTGCAGGTCAACGCATGATGTACATGCGAACGACGAGTAGATTGAAAAGTTGAAACTGCAAAGCCTGCCGCCAGGTGCCACCCTCTGTGTGCAACAGCCAGACGCTGCGGAAAAAGACGAATCAGGCTCTTGTGCCGGGGCCATGCGTGGTCACAACATGTTATGAAGAACCGCTTGAGGATAAGCACGGCAAACGTGCCACGTGAGCCTGATTTGAGTCAACATAAAGCAGCACAGAGAAGCGAAGCACTCTGCACAGGCCAGGACGAAGGCTCGATTCACAGTGACAAGGCCTGTTGGCGTGGATGTTGTTGTTTGTCGTTGTCATCTTCAAGATAGGAAGATGGCAAAGTGACTTGCCCAGTACCTTGGTAGATGTGGATGCAGCTAGTTAGGCTTTGAGCATTTGGCCTCCGGAACAACAGTGGGATCCCAGGCAGTACCCACTTTGTATTCGGTGGGTACCGCCAGTTGGCATTGCGAGCAACAGTTTGCCTGGAGACAAGATGATGCAGCAAAGTCTTGATGCAGCCTTTCAGCACTTCATATCTTCCACCTTTGTGCGGCGGCTGCCCATCAACACTTGGTGACCCTCAGCTGCGAAGAGCTTTCGTCTTGAAAAGCTTTCCAACCTGCAATCAGTGATCTTGATCATAGCCATCTCTTGACATAGCGCTGCTGCTACCAAGCTGAGGAGCATGGCAAGCAAGAATGAAACTTGCCCCTCGGCAAACTATTCTGTCATTTTTAGAACACCGTTCAGCCACCATGTAGAGTGGAAGAGACTGGGACACCACGACATTAGTTCGGCGGCTCTGCGGGTTGGTCAGCCCAGGGTTCAACATTGTATTGCAAGCAGTGCAAGTAACTTGATCTCATGAGGCCGCATGCTTGATGCTCTGGGTGTCGAGCCGCCCAACCCTATGCTACTTTCGATGCTTGTCGGCCAAGGCAAAGTCAACTCAGATCTGCGTGAAATTGCCGTTGTGGCTCAAGCCATTTTGGCTCAAGACTCAAGGCCACAGTCCACGACATGATCAATGTAGAAGTACACATGCCAACCAACCCTAACATGGTCAGCCAATCCGGTCATCGACGGGAAAAGCTCACTCTAGATGCTCCGAAAAGGCAAAGTATCCCTCTTGCACTACGTAGAGTCTTCTTTTGGTCTCGGGAGCCATCAGTTTTAGTTTGCCTCACCTCGTAGAATTTGGCCATATTTTACAAGGACAAGGTCGTGACACTATGTGTGTCTGGTTGGGCAACCATAGGCCGGCCATAACCTGCAAGGGTGCTCCACCAGGGTGTCAGCTGCGGCATGACAGGCCTTGACTCAGTCTTTCCGTGCCTCCCGTACCACCTTCCTTGCGCCAACATTGCTGGCCAATGCAACTGCACAAGGTCAAGTCTGTAACTCTGGCAAAGCCCTTGAGATCCCCTGAGGTCCAGGCTAGGCTATCTAAAGTCCCACTATTGCAAAGTTAACAAATAAAAAATACATCGTATTTTGGAAACTTTACAAATTTCAGTACATGGCATACGAGTTTTGCAACGCGATACGATCCTGAAAGGCGGGCCAGGAGTATCCGCCGTGGACAGCATCTGGACTGCCCTATACCGGAGCCTGGACAAGATACATTGGAGGCCCACTCGCACGCACGACCAGCCCTTCCCATTTCTTTGCTTCGCAGCTGGAGATCTAGAACGGAACTGACTCTCCCTGGCGCACGGACTGCCAAGTTGGGGTCTCTGCAACACGAGCCGACCATTACGTATCCCGCCAAGACCCTGAGCCGAGCCCCGAACTGAAGAGCGAACTCGGCACCCCGACCCGAAGCTGACCAAAACCAAACTCGGGACCCACACCCCGAACCTTGAACCGAACCCCGAACCGGAACTCTAGATTGAACTTGGGACCATTGGCCACCCGCCCTTGAACCGAACTCCGAACCCGAACTCCAAACCGAACCCGGAATCCCTGCCCAAACCCTGAACCGAACTCAAGACCGAACTCGGAGCGCGCGCCCTTACCCTGAGCCGAACCACGAACCTGAACTGCAGATTGAACTCAGGACCATTGGCTGCCCGCACAAAAGCGTGACAGACCCCTTCGGCGTCTTTGCGTGAAGATCAGCTTTAAACAGCATGCCCGACCAGCGCCCATCTGCGCTTTGTTCTCCAGCGTCACTCCAACTTATCAGGTGTTGTTACTCATGGTTTGGGGCTTGCGCTAGCTCTTCCGCATATTCCGCGTCTTCCGCGTTTCTCGCGTTTTCCGCGTCTTCCCCCTTATACCTTCTGCCGCGGATGTATTTCAGGATTAATATTGTTTGACACACTTCAGCGGCTGTGCGTTAAAGCAAAATTATCGCCAATTTGTCAGCCAGCCTCGGAGACGTGTGGATAGCACTCTCAGGCCGCTCCACCTCACGCGAATAGCAACAAGAACAAAACTCTCGCAGATGGTTTCGCAGCTCATGCGTCCGCGACGCTTTTGAAATCCGAGCGCGCCCAAGCCGATGCAGAATTTCTTGTTCCTTGGCCTAGTAGAAAGAACCGACAAATTCACACGCAGGCAAGGAAGGAAACCCCCCTCCCTTCGAGCCCCCGGCCGGACCCCGACTCCGAACCCTCCCTTCAGTTCCGTTGTGCTGTTCTTTCTCTCAATTACATTTTGGAGCCGACAGAACATGTTTCGCTTCCAGGAAGTGCAAGCCGTGCCAGATGATCTTTAGAAAGCTCCACCAGCAGAGAGAAGCAGGCTGCAAGAGCGAACGCTATGCAAAGCACCCGTGTACCCTGACCTCATGCGCGCGAAGCACCTCGGCGTGGGTCAGAGGCTTGCAGGCGCGGTGGTGTTTCTCGTGCGCGACATCATGCCGGAACACGGGCAGGGAATCTCGCACGCTTTGCAGAGGAAATGAAGAGTGGGGGGGTGAGGATGGAGT